TGACATAAATTTTTGGGGGGATTTCTAAGAATATCTTTCTGAAGATGTAATATTTCAGCAGTGTTGGAAAAAGATTTAATTAGTGCTTATGACAAAATTCTGTAAATGTGAGTTGTCTTTATTTTCACAAAGGCAGATGAAGGCAGAAATAAAAGATTTCTGCACACTTCTATTTCTGGAAGATTTCACTTTTAGACAAATATCTATTGTAACCAGGAAGAGTGTTGCTTCAAACTAGACTTATTCCAAATTATACATGGATTATACTACTTATAAAAATGTTTTGATATAAGGTCAATCTTGGATTTTAGCCCCTTTGATCATTTACGGGATTACAAGCCTCTATGGTGTCAATCTCAGTTTTATCTGGTTTTACAAGGAAGTACAACCCGGACAGGCCTCCAGTTCCAATCAGGATAAGAAGACAGAATAAGAAAAGCACAAATTTTCCATGCAGATTAAATTCAAAAACAGCATTGAAGCAGACAAGTTTTGTAATGACAATCAGATATATTACCATGTTATCTTAGAACTGACTACAGTTCAATAAAATCTGTATTTCAAGTAGTTTATTTTTATTATTCAGAATTAGAGCAACAACTAAAAATAATTTTTTTATCTGTTCATTCTTTTTCTCAATTAATCATTTTATAATTGAATGGGAGAGTGGCGGCCTAGTGGTTACGGCATAGAGCTTGGAAACCTGAGATTCTGAGTTCGAGCCCCACTCTCACAAACTGCCACTCTTGGTCTCTGAGCAAGACCATTAACCCCAAACTGCTCCCAGAGCACCCCACAAGGGCAGGCCACTGCTCCCCAAGGGGATGGGTTAACTGCAGTGTTGAATTTCTCCAATTTGAGATCAATAAATTTAGATTATTATCGTAAATAATTTTACACAAAATTTAAACAAAGTGAAGCTAAAACTATGCACTTTTAGGACCTATGGTTAGAGCCTATTTATGGAGAAAAAATTTGTATAAAATTGGTATAAAATTTTGGTATAAAAACTGCTTTGAGTGAGTTGCTCTTTCAGCTTATGGCAAGTTTAAGAGCCTCAAGTTAATGAATTGATTAATAAATTAATTGCAGATTATTTCAATAATAGATTAATAATAATTAATCTGATTAATGTATCAGCCCAAGTCAGAATGTTATAATATATAATAAAACTGATACTATAGGATCTGCTGCAAAGCAAGGAGCATAGGATGCCACCAGTCCTTTTCTGATATTTATTTTAATAGGGTCAACATTTATTCATATTGGATAGCGAGTTTAAAACGGGTACATTCTTATTGATTTCTGATAAAAGAAGGTGGTCTATAAATTCCTCACTGTTAAACTGGTATAATGAGGACAAATTGGCTTAAAGTTACAGCCTAGTAGGAGGGCCAATAATGTAACAGTGATTTTCTGTAACCATACTAGTCAAGATAGATGCTTCAACTGGCTGCTGTGAGAACTTCCTTGGTTCTATCCTGGTTTTGTTTAATTCTACCTATGAAATCAGTCTCTACCCTCTCCTTTTCAGACTGATGTATACAGAGAAAGTCAGTCTGGCTGGTCCGGTTAAAACAGAGCACTACTGTGTGTCATTGAGACTTTCAATATAAAAGTCATAGATTCTAATCAATAAAATAAAAACCTTTTATATACCATACCTAAATAGGTATGCTCTACTTTCAAAATAAAAGCTTACTGATGTTACATGGCAGATTGTCACAGAAATGGGTTCAGCCCTATGGCCTGCTGAAGGAAAGAGAGCTATAGGAACAGAATTTATAGGAGCTACAGCAATTAGCGTGAAGCGGCTTTGATAATGTTCCTAGCCACTAACAGGAAGAAAACAGCACTGTGTCAAGAGGTGGGGTTTTATTAACAGTAGCTGATCACAGGCAGTATACTTTCCTTGGTGGTTTCCACACCTTAAAGTGTAAAAAGATGACATGAGTGTTCAGGGTGAGTAGGACACAGGCTAAAGATCCATGAAAGAAGAACATAGAGAAGGAGATTGAATTGTTTGTGACACATTTAGGGAGGTTTATGTTATTAAATCTCAAAGCATAAAACATTTGAAATGTGTGTGGAGAGTAGTTTATGTAGTGTGTATTAAATAAAGTTGTCTGTATGAGTATTTATTATGCTCATACATAATAAAATCTGACTTTCTAGCTTTCCTCTTTACTCAGGCTTGATGGCAGTTATGTCCATGCTCTGACTTCATTTACACCAAATAAGAACAAACTCAGAACTACAAAAACATTTTAAAAAACTACTGTTTAGTAACTCTCCCAACTGCAACTGAACATGATGTCAAATGTTAAACTACAGACATTGACATAGAAATTTAGAAGTTGTTCTAAGTTAAAATTTCAAAATGGCTCGTAGGCCAAAGGGGCTTGGCCCAGAAATGGGGTGGAAAATTAGAGTATGTTTGCGTTTTTAGGTCACCTAAATGTCTAGCACCGCCCCTGATTGTTCTATACCACTTGTCACTACTGTCAGTAGCAGTCCCTAACGTGGCTCTGTCTCCTCTCCTAACCATCTACACCGTCCATAAATGGGCCGATGTAGATGAAAAAATGCCAGGGCCGAAAATCATTCCCAGTCTGAGCCTGACCATGATGAAACCTTAGCATAAACACAGGAGCCTGACCAGGTATCTGTTTATACCACTGAGCAGGATCTGTGGTAACAAACCCCAGGTTACACTCCATGATGGCTGCATCTCCTTTCCTCACCGTGACAACAGAATGCTTCTGTTTCACCACCGTCACACCAGCCAAACCTGGAACCAAATAATTTAGAAAATTGATACAAACTCCTGGTTCCCAGAAAGAGGACTTAAACAATGAAAGGCAGCATTAAGTTTCTATGCTTTAAATCAGTTCACTGCTTTAAATCAGAAAATCATTACTGATAACATCTATGTTATCAGCAATAATAACATAAATGTTAACGGCAGCTTACGGATTAATTGCAAACATCGCCTTATTATTCCTGTAATTTTTCATCTCTTTTATTGCTTGCATTTTTTGATTTAAAAACATATTTCTGTTATGAATCTGTCTGAAATCAATTTAATTTTCTCCTGCTTTGTACTCCTACTTAATAATATTAAATTATCCTGTGTAGAAATGGTGCAATCCAAAAACAAGGCCTATATGTCAACTACATGTATAGCAGATTATTTGATTTTCCGTCTGTTGGATGTTAAATATATAAACTCAAAATGAAATCTAATTGCTGGTGAAGAATAAATGTTTGACACAATAACTTTTATCATATAATTTTTTTAACCATTTATTAGAATAATGTTGCACATTTATTAATGTTTTTTTTAGATTGTGTTGCTGTTTTTGCATTTAGTTGAACAAAATACTTTATCTCTTTTTTGGAGTCATTCTTTATTTTGTAAGTGTAATTATAGAAAAATATGCTTATCACATTTCAAGGCTGTTTAAATGCAATTAAAGTGTAGAAATTCTTTTTTGACATAAAATGGAAAAAAAAAGTTTGTTATAATGTTAATGTTTGTAATCATAGTTGGAAGTGTTGAAACAAGGAACTGACTGTATCAAGTACAAATATTTTTTTACTATTTAGCATCTAGGCTGGGGAATTTTTTATCTACAGTTTTGTATCCAATATTTTATGTTAACATCCCATAATAAATTATTTCCATCCATCTTCTCCTGTTTAGTCCTGTCAGGGTCGCCGTAGGGCTGGTGCCTGTCTCCTGCAGTCTATGGGACAGAGGCGGGGTACACCCTGGACACGTCGCCAGTCTGTCACAGGGCAACACAGAAACACATAACCATGCACACATCCACACCTTAGGACAAGGTAGAGAAGCCAATTAACCATCAGTCAGGTTTTTGGGGGGAAGCCAGAGTACCTGGATAGAACACATGCATGCAGTGAGAACATGCAAACTCGGTTCATGCAAACCCACTGAATCACTGCGCTGCCAACATTATTTATGATTATTCTCAAAACTATTTGAACTTCGGAACTATTTAAAAAAATATCTCCTCTAGGTATTTGAAAGAAATCCATGCCATATTAGTCGATGGCATGTGTTTACCCTGACAACTTGTTGAAGCTCAATCTTAAGTTACATTTCTTTACATTCCTACATCTTTTGATTCTTGCTATTGTGAAGTTATGATATTTTTAAATTCCCAACCAAAGAACCAAAGTTGACCTTGAAGAATTTGAATTGTGGTCAAAGTAGCTTTTAAACTAATTTAGAGAAACTGGAACATGTTTAAACCGATTCATAGCAGAAATATTAGGTAAATAAAACATTGTTTGGCAAATTAATGTTTCAATAAATGATCTGGTAAATCAGAAACCAATAACCTTTATTTAACTGATTCCTAACCTTCTTTGATTGAGCTAGAAGCTAGCAGACATGCAGCAATTTGGTTCTGCAGTTAGCCAACAGGTGTCTCAGCGTTTGTTCATCCTGCACATTCTGGTCCTTGGCTTCTGGTTTTCCATTATGGTGCCTCTTTGATGTGGCTGGTCCAAGAACAGCTCTGAGAGAGACAGAGTTTGCTACTAATGTTGGTGTTGATGTCTTGGTTATTTGTAATAGTGCCTCAAAGATGATTATAATGTTGAAAATTGTTGATGCACCTTCTAAATTCAGAAGGAGTATTTCTCTGTGGATGGATGGATGGATGGATGGATGGATGGATGGATGGATGGATGGATGGATGGATGGATAGCTTTATATGAGTAAATATTTACGTTTTAGCTTATAATGTGTAAGACATATCAATATATCATGTTAAAAAGTCTGTGATGATCATTGTAGTTCTTGAAATGTTTCTGTTGTTGCAGAAATATTTATTAAGAGAATGCAAAAAAGTTTAAACTCATATAGAAACCTTAGAAAATATTATATTTAGATGAGGATTAAAACATATTTGCTCCTATAAAGGTTATACAGTATCAATATCCTCTAAAAAATCTAAATGATTGCTTATAAAGAGTTCAAAACCCCCAAATACATTAAAATGTGAAACTAAAGAATACCTAAACAAATATAAGCCAAGTCCTCTGAGAACTATCAGTGAAAAAGCAGAAGTGTTTGTGTCGAGGTTTTTGTCACAGCATAAATCACTGTGATACGTACTCATTAACAGAGGTGTCCCATGTTTTACAGTAATAAACTGCAGAGTCTCCTTCTTCTATGTTGTTGATGATCAAACGATAATCTGATGATGACTGATGAGTGGAAGTGTGTCTTGCAGAAGGGAACCCAGTGTCATAGCTGGGTGAACTCCAGCCATGATAAAAACTCAGCATATAGAGAGGAACTCCTCCTAGGATCTGTCTGTACCACCAGGCTTGATAGTTACCAACAGTCCCCAGGTTACAGTCCATGGTGGCTGTCTCTCCTTTCCTCACCGTCAGAACTGAAGGCTTCTGTGTCACCACTGTCACTCCACTCACACCTGGAAGCAACAAGAAGACATACAGGTGCTGGTCATAAAATTAGAATATCATGAAAAAGTAGATTGATTTCAGTAATTCCATTTAAAAAGTGAAACTTGTATATTATATTCATACATTACATACAAACTCATATATTTCAGATGTTTATTTTGTTTAATTTTGATGATTACAAATGACAACAAATGAAAATCTCAAATTCATCATATCAGAAAATTAGAATATTGTGAAAAGGTTCAAAATTGATGGCCCCTGGTGCCACACTCTAATCAGCTAATTAACTCAAACCACCTGCAAAAGCCTTTAAATGGTCTTTCAGTCTAGTTCTATAGGCTACACAATCATGGGGAAGACTGCTGACTTGACAGTTGTCCAAAAGACGACCATCAACACCTTGCACAAGGAGGGCAAGACACAAAAGGTCATCGCTAAAGAGGCTGGCTGTTCACAGAGCTCAGTGTCCAAGCACATTAATAGAGAGGCGAAGGGAAGGAAAAGATGTGGTCGAAAAAAGTGTACAAGCAAGAGAGATAACCGCACCCTGGAGAAGATTGTGAAACAAAACCCATTCAAAAATGTGGGGGAGATTCACAAAGAGTGGACTGCAGCTGGAGTGAGTGCTTCAAGAACCACCACACACAGACGTATGAAAGACATGGGTTTCTGCTGTCGCATTCCTTGTGTCAAGCCACTCTTGAACCACAGACAGCGTCAGAAGCGTCTTGCCTGGGCTAAAGAGAAACAGGACTGGACTGCTGGTGAGTGGTCCAAAGTCATGTTCTCTGATAAAAGTAAATTTTGCATTTCCTTTGGAAATCAAGGTCCCAGAGTCTGGAGGAAAAGAAGAGAGGCACTTCATCCACGTTGCTTGAAGTCCAGTGTAAAGTTTCCACAGTCAGTGATGGTTTGGGGTGCCATGTCATCTGCTGGTGTTGGTCCATTGTGTTTTCTGAGGTCCAGGGTCAACGCAGCCACATACCAGGAAGTTTTAGAGCACTTCATGCTTCCTGCAGCTGACCAACTTTTTGGAGATGCAGATTTCATTTTCCAACAGGACTTGGCACCTGCACACAGTGCCAAAGCTACCAGTACCTGGTTGAAGGACCATGGTATCCCTGTTCTTAATTGGCCAGCAAACTCTCCTGACCTTAACCCCATAGAAAATCTATGGGGTATTGTGAAGAAGAAGATGCAATACACCAGACCCAACAATTCAGAAGAGCTAAAAGCCACTATTAGAGCAACCTGGGCTATCATAACACCTGAGCAGTGCCACAGACTGATCGACTCCATGCCACGCCGCATTGCTGCAGTAATACAGGCCAAAGGAGGCCCAACTAAATACTGAGTGCTGTACATGCTCATACTTTTCATGTTCATACTTTTCAGTTGGCCAACATTTCTATAAATCCTTTGTTTTTATTGGTCTTCAGTAATATTCTAATTTTCTGATATGATGAATTTGAGATTTTCATTTGTTGTCATTTGTAATCATCAAAATTAAACAAAATAAACATCTGAAATATATGAGTTTGTATGTAATGTATGAATATAATATACAAGTTTCACTTTTTAAATGGAATTACTGAAATCAATCTACTTTTTCATGATATTCTAATTTTATGACCAGCACCTGTATAGTTAAGAAAAAAAACAGACTGATGAATCCAACAGGAGCTCCAGTCTGCAGTAAGTCATCCTGCTTACATGTTAGAGCTGTGATGAGAGAGCAGAGGGTCCCCAGCATGTTGTCAGTTTGTGCTGAGAATGATCTTGGATTTTATAAGGGTGACCTCACTGCTGACAGATGAGAGAGTTTAGAGGATGAGGAGAGGAGGTGGAGGAGATATTTATCAGAAGACTCAGACTAACAGGAACAGACAGGAGGAGGAGCTCTGAGACTTTATGGAGTGAGGCATTTCTTTGACCAAATATGTTTTCTTTTATTGTATAAATTGATATTTATCACTGTCCTTCTATTACACCGTTTTACCTATCATCTTGCCCATAGCTCCTCTTTTAAATGTTCATTCTGAAAAGCTTTCTTAACATTAGAAGGCACATAGACCTCTTTGGAACATGTTAAGACACTGTTTTCTGTATTTAAATAAATATAATACCTGGCAAAATTTCAACTGATATAATTGGATAAATGATTAAGGTTGCAGACTTGCAACGTCCCTAATTGTAATAGGGCTCTGATTTTTATACTTAAAAATTGAACTGAGGGCTTCAAACTGTTTCATTTCGATTATTTCATTCTTTTTTTCACATGTTACTCTATAGTTGAGGAAAAAATTGTTAAAATTAATATTTCTACTATTGTTGAAGTAAAGTCAATTCCTTTATCTATGATTCAAATAAACATAGATGAAGAAAAGAAAGAAGAAAAATGCCTAACCAAAGTTATAAATGTATCTTTATATAGAAAAAAACCTTCAAAGTGCTTTACGTGAATGAAGCTTGAAAATAGAACAAAAATAAAAGCAGAAAAAAAATCAATAAAATATTTTAAATTCAATTTTTTGTGATACAGGGAGCCACTGAAGCAAATTCAGAGCCGGGCTGATGTGCTCTACTTTCTTAGTTCTAGTGAGAACACAGGGAGCAGGATCTTGGATCAGCTGCAGATGTCTGATGGACCTTTTAGGAAACCTATGAAGTCACTGATGCAGTAATCAATTCTATTTAAGATTAATGCATAAATGAGTTTTTCTAGATCCTGCTTGGACATTAGTCCTTTAATCCTGGAAATGTCATTCAGGTGATAAAAGACTGACTTAGTAACTGCCTTTCTGTGCCTCTGAAGGTTCAGGTCTGAGTCCATCATGACACCAAGGTTTTAGGTCCCAATCAGTGTTTTTTTTTTACTGTAGAAACAGAAGCTGTGAGCTAATTCTGGATAACTCGGGCCATTGGTCCAAAGATTGGAGTAAATATCTTTTTTGTGCCACTAAAGGCGTTGAATAGTGTTTGACCTCCAGACATTTTAGAGTTGCTGGTTGGATGGGAAACATCGAGAGTGCTGAAGTCATCAGGGACGTCTTCATTCTATAATCCCAGGTCAGGAATAAATATGTGCAGGAAAGTATTTAGTTTCTATGCTCCATCTGAAATGTGCAGAAATTCTTCACAACATGAAACATTTTTTTCTGATACAGCTGAACAACAAATCCCAACGACTATCTGTGTTTCCTGAGGCGTCTTAGGTTTCTCATTAAATAGTTTGTTTTATTTGATTTTCATTTTAAGTAATTTTCCTTTGTTTTATCTCTATTCTCTATGTTTTTGATGTGATTCATTTGTGAATTATGTTGTTCATGAACAGTATCATTCAAATAACTTTCTCTTGTTTAAATCTTATATATTTTAATAGATAAGATTTTTCTTTGTGTGTGACACTTGTTAAAAATAACAAAGGAAAAATTTAATGAGGTTGTGATGAGCCCACTGATCTCTGACATGCATCATGTCACTAAGAGTCTGTGAATAATGTTTTACCTGAATTAAGATGTGGAAACATATCACAGGTTGGTATTCAGGTCTGCCTCTGCCCTGTCTGATTCAGTCTAATTCATCTCTGGTTCCTGTCTTCCAATACCTCCTTATTTTCAATAAAACTTCTAAATATTACAAAACCATTACAGATGAAGCTAAGCAGGGTTACTTGGACTGACCCTGGGTTTCTCCCATTTTTAAGCTGGGATCTGTAAAAGATGTTGGAAATGCAGAGGAATCTTCGGTTGGAGTGCAATACTACATAATATCTCCATAAAAAGAGGGTGATTAGATAGTGATCAGATGCCTTCGGTATCTTACTAATATCTTTGTTACTCAATCAATTACCGACGTAGTGCGCCTAAAATCCATGGACGTTTATAATCAGTATATTAATGGTTTCATTATTGACAACAGGACCCATCTGAGTATCAAGTTTCAGGTCAATGGCAGATTAAGCAATTACAATAACAAACACATAAATGTACCTTATAGGTCATATTTTTTAACTCATAGGGTACATGCTGACACCGTTCAACAAATATCTATATATATTTTACCAGTAAAGTGATAAGATTGGCACAGATTCTGTGTGTTTTTGAAGGCTGATTGTTGTGGTAGATGTTCTGGTAATGAGCCTGGTTCTGCTGGAGGTTTTTGCCTATTCAAAGTGAGTTTTTCCTCTCCACACACACTGCATGCATGCTGCATGTGAGGGATTGCTTCAAAGTCAATGATACAATACAAATAAAAGTCTACTGTCCCCACACAATGGTCATGGATGAGCAAATCCTGCAAAAATTGACTTCTTCATGTAAATATTCACAATCAAAACTCAAATTTAAACTGTAAATAGAATAACAGAATAAATATCAAGCGATTTTGAATAACTTCAGATGTTAAATATTTTTTTTATCAATTACATGATAGCTTATAATCTTCATTACGGTGGAGAAATAAATAGGATTTTAGCTATTAAGCATTTCAGTTAGTGTAGATACTTTTTTTAAGAAAATGATTGATGTGTGTTGTACATGTATTAATTATTAATTTATATGATTGCTAAACATTAAAATAGAATATCACTGCAATGATAAATTACACAATTTCCTTATGTTCCATACTTTAAACACAAAAAACTATTTTTATTTAATGAGCTCCTATTTCGATTGTAAAAAAATCAAAATGTAATCATGAGAACCAATGAAACTGATTTTCAGTTCTTGTCAGTGAAACCTCTTTCTACATCTCCCTCTCAGTTCTTACAGGATGCAGCTGCAGACCTCTACTCTATATTTATACATTCATGTAAATGAGGAGCTCCAGTTCCAAATGTCTTGGGACCTGCAAACGTTTCTTTTTTCTTTCAAATCACCAAGCATTAATAAGTCTGTTAAAATAAACTCTCTTTGGATGAAGATGTGATGTAATATTCACATTTTAATTTAACAGCCTATTGTGTTTTAATGTGAATTTATTATTTGTGATTCATTAAGAAATGCCTTTTTTATAACAACCTCAGTATCTCAAGGATTGTTTCCTCTAAATCATTATTAACATATAAAAAGAAAAAAAGCAGAGGTCTGCAGGTGTATCATGAAGAAGAGGCAGAAAGAGGAAAAAGCTTTGCTTTCCACCGTTTATCTATTTAGATGTTTCTTAACTCCGATCATCTTAACATTAATCTTTAATCTTAACTACCTTTATTTTCTGTTGTATCTACATATATCTGAAATTTATGAAAGTACAAAATCTGAAAATGTAGAAGATAGAAACACATGAAAAATACTTTTTTATTTTCCAATGGTCAACTGCAAAATCATCATAGTCAAAGTAACATGAGGCACAGCTACTGTCATGAATGTATATAAAAATACACAGGATCCTAAGGTTTTCAATAACTATGAGTTTTTTATTGAAAAAGAAAGCCGATGCAGCAATAATTGTCGAAAACACATTATTTTCAAAATCCTGTCAGAAGCAAAACAATAAAGAAGCAGATTATAGATGATTGTGGTCCTCTACTTTTCTTCAGCAGGACATCCTGACTTGTTGATGGTTTTCTCTGCAGTCTGGGAGCCCAAAGACACTTTACAGGTATAAACCTTATTCATGTTCCAGTCTGATGTCTGGATGGACAGAGAACTGCTGATGTGGAAAGTCTGGTCTGGTCTCTGAACAGCAGTGCTGGTAGAGATCCCACTGGTCACTGGACTCCCACCAACCAACCAGCTCACATCTGCAAAAGGCCCAGACTGACTGGACAGACAGAGCAGAGTGGCTTTGTTGGTCTGCAGCTCAGCACTGGATGGAGGGAAGACAGTCAGGACAGGAGGAGGGAGACTGGAGTCTGGAAAGACATGGTGGACATTATCAAATAACACATTATTTATTTATTTATTTTCAGCATTTTTTTTATTGTCATTACACTGTCACAAGTACAGAGCAACAAAATTAACTCTCTGTATATAACCCATTCCCTTGGGGAGCAGTGGGCTGCCATTGTGTGGCGCCCGGGGAGAAGTGTGGGGTTAAGGGTCTTGCTCAGGAACTTAAGCTGTGGGGATCAAACTGGGTACTTGCAACCTTCTCAGCACACAAGCGCACTGCTCTAACCTAGTAGGCCAACACTCCCCACAGCAGCAAAACATTACTAGGTCAAAATAAAAGTGTATGTTACAACACCCAACAAACTTAACTTGAGTTATGGATTCAGAAATAATAGAAGCTGTTTAGCAGTTTTTCTTATTCTACTAAAGCAGAGGATTTGATTAACCTAAACATCCAGTCTGTAGGCTAATGACCTAAGAAACACCACAAAATTACATCACTAAAAATATTAAAATCTGCATTATTAATCAAACTCTATATCCAAGTGAGTTTATGAACAGAAAGGGTATTCATTTACAAGATATTTTTATTATTAATGATTAGTTTGTCGATTTTTTTTTGTCTGCATGGTTTAAAAAAGTCAAAATGGATTTTTTTCACATTTTAAATTTTCTGAAAATGTAAAACACACATGGTTTAAACTTAACCTAGGAAACCTGGAAGAGCATTATAAACTTGAAAAAAATTAATCCTGTTGATATTAAACTGTTAAAAAACAAATTGAAAAGCAGATAGTATGAAACCACCCTTTTTGTTTCTCTGAAACTTTTCATTAAATTTGCCGTAAAATAAGCACAATGCTGTATGTTTGTATTCCCCCTTTCCGATTTCAGAAGAAATGTTTTGCTGTGTGTAGATTTCTTTTCTCTCTGACAATGTCAAAGAAAATATCTGTGACATGTATTAAAAGTATTTGATAGAATATAATTACTTTTTTGCAACGTTTTTTTGTTACATAATTCACTTCAACACTGTTTCATCAGTTGCAGTATATCTGGATTTTGATCAACCGAAAAGACGAAAAACAAAAGAAAAAACATCAAGACAAGTTATTTCAGTCTTTGTAAATTAATTAAAAACTAATGCTTGTGAAATGAAGCAGGTAATCACAAAATCCCCTTTTAAAGTAATTAAAACAGATCCTTACCTGTTACAATCAGCTTGGTTCCTTGGCCGAATACCACAGTGATTCAGTTTGTATACATGGCCGTACAAAAACCTCCTGATTGTCTCTGATCAGGGGAGTGGAACTGAAACCTCCTGCTGAGACCAACTTTCACTGAAAACATCTCATTTTCTTCATCTGTTTGCTTTTATTACAAAACACACACAATTCTCTTTAGTCATCTTCAAAGTACAACTTATTTTCTTTGTTAATAAGTGTGTTTTGTGAACTGTTGAATGTTCATACATTTTATTAGTTTTAGAGTTTAGGTCTTGTGTTGGTTTTTGTCACACTGTGAATCACTGTGATACAGCTTCATCTGCAGAGTCATCCCATGTCTGACAGAAATAAAGAGCAGAGTCTCCTGCCTCTGCCTGCTTAATAATAAACTGATAATCTATGTTTGAGGTGGATTTAGAGTTGAATCGGTCTGAAGAGAATCCTGTTCCAAAGTGGAGTGAACTATCGGAGTGGTGAAAACGCAGAACATATTGAGGAACTCCACCAGGAACTTGTTTATACCATCTGACAAAGTTTCCATCATGTCTCTGAATGTTACATTTTAAAACAACTTGTTGTCCTGTTGAAACGGTCTCAACAGGAGGTATCTGGGTCAGTGTTATCGCTGCATCAACATCTGGCAAAAGAAGCAGGGAAAAGCATGAGTAAAAGGTTTGTATGTAAAAATGTCATCTTAAGGTCTCTGAGAAGAATCTTACATGTTAGAGCAGTGATGAGACTGCAGAGGATCCCCAGCATGATGTCAGTTTGTGGTGTAAAGGTTTGGTTCTGTCCAGCTGAAAGTTGAACTGAAGAGAGGAGAGAATCAGAGGCTTATAAAGAGACTGAGGAGAGGAGAATTGAGGGAGGAGGAGATTCATTAGACTAATATCTGAGATTAGATTGTTAAACTGTCTGAAACAGAAATGAAGTTTCCTATTTATTGTAAGCATGGTACTTGTTCTATCAACCAATATGAAGCTCGCTTTGCTTTTTTTTTATAAGAAAAAAACTAAACAAAATACTTAATGAATAATGTATTTTTTTTTATAAATCTTCCTGAAATATGATTTTTGGGGGATTTTTAAAAATATCGTTCTGCAGATGTAACATTTCAGCAGTGTTGGAAAAAGATTTAATTAGTGCTTATGACAAAATTCTGTAAATGTGAGCTGTCTTTATTTTCACAGAGTTAGATGAAGGCAAAAAAAAAAAAAAAACATTTCGGCGCACTTCTCTTTCTGGAAGATTTGACTTTAAGACAAAAAGAAAAGTACAGGGAATTTTCTGAAAGAACAAATATATAAGTAAACAACAGTAGGGAAGACAGGTATGTAACCCATTACACTCAACTCACTGACCGGGAATAATCAATTATTCCACATATTAATTTTGAACTACTTTGACCTTTTAAATAAACATTCAACACCTGTTAAAAGATTAGATTGAATTTCATAAAAATGTTTTATAAATTAAAAATGTAAATACAAATATTTCATTTGTTTCTTTTCAAAATACATAAATATGGAAATAGAAAATAAACAAAAAGTCAGAAACACTGATAAATGGGACTGCCTCTACTTTTCAATTTATATAAAAGTAAGAGCATATAAATTATTACTGAATCTTCTGCTCCCTTTTTTAACAGTGGTATTCTTTATAAGTCTTAGTCTTTCTTCTTCCACTGGAAAAGGTTTATTATAAAATTTTTTCAATGATTTACATACCCGGTAATTACTGAATCTCCTCCTTCCCTTTTTAACAGTGAAATCATATATAAGTCTTAGTCTCTCTTCTTCTTTCACTGGAAAAGGTTGATCTATCAGGTATATTCTTAAGAAGGCTAAAATTCAAACTGTCAACATGCTGTGGACCCTCTGTGCCGTCTTCTCTGCTCTAACATGTAAGAATCTCCTTTGCTTCTGAATACTTTTATGTTTGAAGACATGTTCTGTCTTTAAACACAAGCCTGCAACTCATATGTGTTTCGGTTTGTTTACAGATGTTGATGCAGCTAAAGTTCTGACCCAGACACCAGCTTTTAAAACAGTTTCTACAGGACAACAGGTGGTTCTTGGATGTAACATTCAGAAGCCTGAAAACTATCATGTCTTTTGGTACAAACAGGTTCCTGGTGGAACTCCTCAGTATGTTCTAGCATTTTATCATGCTTACAGTTCTCCTGAATTTGGAGCAGGTTTTTCCTCTGACAGATTAAACTCTAAAGCCACATCAGATATAGAGTACCAGTTTATTATAAAGCAGGCAGAGACAGGAGACACTGCAGTGTATTACTGTCACACATGGGATAACTCTGCTAAGGCATGTATCACAGTGATTCACATCATGACAAAAACCTCTGACAGATCTACTTCTGCTTTCTGAGACTACTATTTAATGATGTTTAAACACACAGTGAGATCCCTTATTACTACATTTAATCTTTCTTTTTTTGTGTGCTTTACTACATTTTTGAAAACTCTTAAAGGTTCTAATCACTAATTGAAAGCAAGCGTTAACCCCATTAACTCAATACATGTTTTCTAAATGTCTCTTCTTCATCCATCCTTTTTTCTGTCACGCCCAGGGAAGTAACAAGGATTTTTGAAATACCGAGGTCAAATATTGGGATAAATTTTACTTGACAAAAAAACATCCTAATATGGTGACTTTTTAAAATATATTTTGGAAACGTGAATAAAGAGAGTTAAATCACAAGCCTATCAAGGAGGTAAATATGACCATGTTTATTAATTCCAAAATTCACAAAATTAGAGTATTTGAGTGAGTGAGTTGGTAATATTATTATCATTATCATCATTATACTATAATATTGTTGTTGTTGTTATTAATATTGAAATATTATTACTACTATTATTATTGTCACCATCATCATCATGTGCATGGCCCACTAAATGAATCAAATGACTTAAAATGACATATCACAATAGGGTGACCAGATCAGCATGGGGCCACCGGTGTCCAGGCTATTGTTACCACAAGGGAGTAACTTTGTGATGAAAGTTGGTGAGGACACTTGGGTGGTGACTTTCATTAGGCTAATTTTCCAAAAATGAGCTCAAACTTATATTTATTGAATGCTTTCCTAATTTTGAGAGAACAAGACCACAACACACTGACATTTGTATTTATAGACATTAGAGAGATGCCTTTTAGTGCATTACAAATATAGGGCCGAAAAACACCAATGCATGAAAAAAAAAGAGCCAATTCTGATGCCAAAATTGATTTATCATGCATCCCTAGGAAAACATCCCTGCATACTGATTCTGTCTGTTTAATAAGAAAACATGTTAATTTTAACCTGTAACTGTGATTCATGGTCCTCTGAGAAGCCCAGATTCTTTTAACTAGTAAGGAAGAAGAACAAACTCTTTTTTCTCAAGCTTCTTGCATTATAATACCAACTTGTTTAAATTTACAATCTGTTGCCATTTTTAGCTGAAAAAGCTCCGTATGTCTAACGGATTTTTTGTGGGAATCTCTAATTATTTTAACCAACCCGTCTCCTAACTTTTACTTTTACCTACCCCCGTCCAGCGGGGTTCCCGGATTAGCCCCACAGCTGACGGCTCGGTTCGAGTGCTCTGTGTTGGGATCCAAAGGCTTGCCCTCAAGAGGGCGCCGAGGATCCCTTCCTGTTTATTTGTTTTTCTGTTGGGATCTGGGGTGCTGTCTACTTTCCTCCACCAGAGGGCATACTGGATCTCCTGAACCTGGAGCTGCCTTCACCAGCTGATTCTCATCTGCTCATCAGGGGACCAGTACTTATGTGGGCTGTGGACAACACCTCGACGCCAGAGTGTTTGTTAATCACGGAAGAAACCTGACTGAACCCTGGGAGTCTGGAGGAGTCTCTACTGCTGAACTCTGCCTGCCGCATCTCAGGAGCTCTGGAGGAGCTCATCGTCTGAAACCAGTGTAAAGGAAGAAAATATTCTAACATAGTTAACTTTGGAAAAAGGTTGGCTTTTCATTCTTCCCTTCCCCAGGTCCACTCGGCGAGCTGCGTTTGGTAATAAAAACCAACATTGCATGTTGACGTCACAGAATTACAGAGTTTAATCCAATATAAGGCAATGGATACACTTAGAAATAAGACAATGCACAAACCTACACCAGAAACTGCAGAACAACAGAGACATACATTCCATTACCTGACATAGGAGGAAAGAAAGCAAAGACGTACAAGACATCTTTGGAGATTTTGCAAGAGCAAAATCTGATCTGTAACCTCTATTTAGAAAGCTTTATCCTCTTGTATCTAATCCATTCAAAAAAGGCTGGCCCTCGGTCCTCCAACCAGGAGCCATCTCTGACACCGCCCAGAGCTTCACCCAATTTACTACAAACATCTGGGGTCATTTGCTTCTTTGTTTTAACAAGAAAAGGCGGAAAGCTTGTCCTGGCATCTAGAATTCTTAAAGTCATAAAACACAAGATAAGCTTCCACAGACAGCTTGTGGAATGTGGGGGCCTCACCATAAATTCTCAGGAACAAACTTAAATTTAGTAATCTGGTTCAAGGAAAGGTTATCTTCACAAACTTGTTCAAAATTAAGAAATATGTTCACAAGGAGAGTATACAACATACCTTTTACACATGCCATAAGATTAACTGTATTAAAGACTGAAAATAATCATTTTTCTTTAACAGTCCCCGTTTTGAGGTCTGAGACATACAGACCTCACAAATAAAACGATTAAGCCTTCTAATAGAGGAACCAAAAAACTATTTAGTATACTAAAAAAACTAAAACATTAGCCCAATTTTATAACAGTCCCCTTTTTAAACAGCACCTCCTAGTTCCACTGCCAGGTCATGTGTCTGAAGCTGAACTCCAGTATCTGAACTTATCAAATGTATCTTGCGCTGTCCAACAATTTAATACTCACCTGATGAACCACAAAATTTTAACCAGTAAAAACTAAACTAAAAATACATTTCACTTATCAAACATGAAAAATCATAAAACTCAGTTATGTCAATAGAAGAAAACACACAATAGAAATATCAGCCCAAGTATAAAATTAGAAAACCAGAGTAAGATATCTCGAAATTACTAAAAAATGCTCAGCAGACTTAAAAGACAATACTCGCCACAAAAATTACAATTTGTCAATACAAAACAATAACAACATAAAAAAAATACATCATAAACACATAAAAATTACAAAAGACCTTTTTTTTTTTTCTTTTTTTCACAATTCAACAATAAGAAGTTAGAGTTCGTCTCTATGCTCCTTCGATAGTCTTTCAAAAATGAATATGAATTCTTCGTCAGGAAACGATCCAAAAATACGCGCAAAAAGAAACGAATGTTCTTGAAGAGTTCGCAAAAAACGAAAACACGCAATAAAAAGAAGATAAGTTAATGATGATCTTGTAGCCTGATCCTTCACGTGTTCCTCCTCAGTTATAAACCTCAGGTTTTCCACCTGAGTGTCCGTTGCTCACTGAAAATTGGAGTATTATGCCAATTTAACAGTGAGTTTAAGGAGAGGGTGCAATCTCCTTTTCTCAATGGAAGGACACCGGAACAGGATTATTGTGCCTGTAATTCAGGAAAATGAAGTGGTTTTGGCAGACTTCTGCCCGGAAATGCAGATCCTCCTCCGCGCTGTGATGTGCCTCAGACACTCCTCAACCGCAGGTTGAGACTGTAGATTCTCCTGTATGCCCTGCAGCGTGCGTTGTGGCTCCTCAGCTGACTCCAATGGAACCACGTCTCCTTTTCCCTTGTAGACGGACAGCCTGAGATGTCCTCTCCACGACTCGGTATGGTCT